GGCGGGGGGGGGGGGCTGTGGGGGGGAGCCTCAGGAGGGCTCCTCTGTGCTCTCTTCTATGAAGTATTGGAAATCCACAGCCCCAGAGCCAGGCAGATCGCCCATAGGAAGATGACCCTGCAGATGTATGTATTTTAGAAATGTGTTGCAGTTTTTCGTGGGTTTTTTTGCCCCAACATACACTTTAATCTTTCATATAAAGTTATTTGATACTGAGGGCACACATGATCCCTAATTAGTTTTAACTGTAGTCCCAATCTTCAACTCATGCATATTGTATTTTAACCAATGGACCCAAACAGCTTTATTTAGTTGGAATATCCTATGTTGTTTTCATCCATAACTTGGTCAAGAGATCTGAATGTTGTGATTGCATGAAAAAAACTGAGTTCCTACTCGAGTGATATAAACATTTTTTATAATGGGTTTTTTTAAATCTAGTTTTAGACTCATTCTAAAGGTGCCCATACACTGCTCGATTCTCGTACGAGAATCGGGCAGTGTGCCCGTTCTGCATTGCGGTCATCGGAAGCCCGCCCCTCAGCGGGGCGGGCTTTCGATGATCGCAAGTACGATCTGCCCATCCAAAGGTGGGCAGATCGTACATGCTTTCAATAAGCATATGACCATCGCAAGACAAAAGTCTTGCGATGGTCGTAAGGTGTATGGGCACCTTTACTCTTGGTCTGCATTAAACAAATATTTAAGGTGACTATAAACTCAGGAGTTAAATGTTAAAAATACATTCAAGTACCTTAACTTAACAAGATATGTATCTTGTTTGTGCATCACTCGGCTGTAGATCCTCTAAAATCATGCTGGCACAGTCCTTCCTTCTGGAGGGTGACTACGTTTGTTCCCCATGGTCCCTGCGTGTGTTGTAATGTAGCCACCGCTGCAAAATCACTCCTGTGATGGACTATAATCTCTATAATTTCAATGCAAATTAGTAAACTAAACGTGAGATTGTAGTCCTTCACAAGAGTGAGCTTGGAGCGGTGGCTACTTTACAACACACACAGGGACCATGGGGAACAAAAGTAGCCACCCTCCAGAAGGAAGGACTGTGTCGGCACCAATTCAGAGATTATTTGAGGATCTACAGCTGAGTGATGCACAAATAAGATACATTTTTGTTAACAGTTAAGGTACCTGAAAGCATTTTTAAGATTTAACTGCTGAGTTTATTGTCACTTTAAATCTAGAATTTAAGGGTCTCACCTTAATTTTAAAATCCAAATGCAAGTGTATTATGCAACCAATTGCTGACAAGGTCGTCCCAATCTATAGAACTGTCTATCAAACAATCCATTCACTACCAAGTCCATAAACATTGTTCCCTCTTTAACAGGGCTGGTAAGGTAGGAAAAGGGTTTAGCCACTGAAACACATTGCCATTATCTGATTTTGCATTAGAATACATTTGCATCTGGACTTTAGAATCATCATGTGGCACTTCAAATGCAAATTTACTAGTTACAATCACTGCCCAAGGTGACCTAAAGGAAATTTAAAGCAGATTTGTCCAATGTGGTCTTGTGCTCATTCTTAGGGGGTTATTCACTTAGCTGCCGAAGGCAACCGAGTGAATAACCGAGCCGAAGTGCAGAGGGACTTCGACTCAGCCGATCCAACATCTGGATTGGCTGAGCCGAAGCTCCAGCAGCTCACTTGCTGCCGTTCAGCCCTATTCTCATAAAGTGAGTGACTAGCTAAATGCCGCCGAGCGGCATTCGGCTCCGCTATTTTGCTCAGCACCTCCGAGGTACTGACCAGAATAGAAAATAAGTGAAATGAATGCAAAAAAAAGTTGAAAAATGTAAACAAAATAGGAAAATTAAAAAAAATTAAAATATTTTAAAGAAAAAATTATAAAAGAAAAACAATTGGGCGGAGCTAGCGGTTTCCTATTGACTGGCACCTGCCAGAGTCTTCAAGCAGGTGTCCCGGCCAATAAATAACTGGGTGGAGCTGGCTGTGAAGTCACGGCCAGCTCCGCCCAGTTGTTATTGTTTAATGACAGATCAGTATCCCCAGGTCATTTGGGGATGCTGATCTGTCATTACAACTGGGCAGAGTGAGCCATGAAATCACGGCTGGCTCCGCCCAGCTGTAATTTTCGTGGAGACTGGTCGGCTTCGGGTTACCTTTCTTCATGCTTCGGCTGTCATTTCGGCTCGGCTGCCTTCGGCTGCTGTAAGGGCTATTGTGAAAAGCCCGTACAGCAACCCTTCTGTTCGCCTGAACCTAAGGGCAGAGGCGGCCGAAGAGAGCTGAAGGATCAGCCGAAGCTATGGCGGGTCCTTTCGGCTCTTTAGAGAATAACCCCCTAAGTCGTTATCTGCATTAAATAACATTTTGAGGCAAGATGGACACAAATTCACAAAAATGTGTACAAACAAGATTCAGTTATTTTTAGACAGGCATTTAAAGGATAGAAAAACTGCTTTATTGATAGATAATAACATAACTTAAAAATACCTTGTGTTTGAAATGCTGTGTATTTTCATTTCACTATCCTAGCTATTCCCTTTTAAAGGTCTAGACCTATAAAATCCCTACTGTTTGATTACCAGATAAGCAGCAATCAGCCCTTCCTAGTTATCTCACATCCCCATCTCGCTTCTCTTGTGTGCTGTAAGCTCTTTTTTCTTTTTTCTTTCATCTTTATGATGATATCTTTATGATACATTTCTGCATTTAATGGCACTAGAATAAATTATATAGCTTTTTCTTCTACTGTATTTTTCATTGATTATGCATTTTACTACATTCATCCACAGAGTTCAGACATGAGGAAACTCAGGGTTTTCTTCACCTCATAGAAAAAACTAAACATTGGGTGGAATTTATTAAAACTGGAGCAGACAAATTCTGGAGCAGATTTGCTCTGCAACCAATAATCGTCTCGTTTCATTTTCAAGCTTTAGATTCTGTCTGCTCAAGTTTTGATAAATCCCCCCTCTTCCCCCCATTTGTTTCTAATGAAAACACATGCTTTCTCAAGTCATTAAGACATCTTGAGAATGCCTCAAACACCTGAAGAAAGTGTATGTGTACATAGAAGATTTGTTGGGTGGATGTTTTTAGTCTACACCTGATCAGCAAGAACTAAATCTTACTCTAAGTGCCTTCTTTTTTTGGAGGAGGATTGATCTTTTACTTACTGCTTTTTGAAGATGTTTTGTAGTGGCACCATATTGCTTACTGAGATATTCCAGACAAGCCTCCCTTGGAAAATTTGAAAATGCTGTATACCTTAATTTATAACTGATGGATTTTACATTATACACGTAACTATTTTCTACAACACAAAATATACAGGAGAGTTGCACTGTAATTTCAGTAGAAGGAGAAAGTAGTCCATGTTCTCAGCAACAAGTACTACTGCATTATTATTATTATAATACAGGATTTATATAGCGCCAACAGTTTGCGCATCGCTTTACAATATAGGGACACATTACAAATCACAATACAAATCAAGACAAGTTGGTAAGGAGGGCCCTGCCTCTGAGGGCTTACAATCTAAGCTCATCCCTCACCTCTGTGAGTAGTGTTGTTACCTGATGCATTAATCAAAAGTACATTCTAATACCAACACATGTTTTGTAAGTACAAGAGACCAGAAGACGCATGTGAATGTACATGGCCAAGAGACCGTTGTGTATTTATTTAATGGTGTGATCATTTTACCTAATATAGGTCTGTAAGCAGCAGGGAGTAAGTGATCTATTTGATATCTTCTGGCTACAAAATTCTGCCATTAATTAGTGGGGACCAACAAGACCTTTCATAATTAAATAAAACATACTAGATATGAACATGTTGCCTTTTGTACTATTTGGCTCACTAATCAAGTGGTAGTGGAACTTCAGCCAATCGACTGGAGGATTAAACCTCTATAGGCTTTTCAATGCTGCACGTATCTACATATGGGATATTCATATTCATATTATCTTCTGGTTACCATTGTCACCAGAATAGGAGTACAGTAGAATTACCCATATGAGGGCAACTGTTGACAGGTTTTCTTTTATTTTTAATTGTCTCTGAAAACCCCTATCCAGGTTATCCAGAACTAGAAAGATGTCTGGTATGGTTTTACAATTTAAAAAGTAGATAAAGTTTGATGGTTACTGTTAATATGTATGCATTTTATTCTGTTTAGGTGGAAAACAGCCCTTTAGAGTTTGGAATGTATTTTCTTCATGAGACAGGAGGTAAGTTTGACTAGTAGTTGTGTTTTAGACTGCTACCTCACTTGCAGATGAATTGACAGGCTTGTATGTTAAAAGCAGTTAGAGTGAAATCTGTTGATTTGAAAATCACAGCATGTATGATGGGACCTGAGAAGCCATGTATTCTGACTCCAACCATTTTATAACTATTTCACAAGATGGTGGATGGCACTGTAGGAATTCTATCATCTTTGACTATTCTGACTCCAATTGTTGTGTTAGTGATTTATCCCTTGCTGAGACCTCTATGCCTGGCCTGTAAAAGTAGATACAATCACAGCTGACAGTCTTTATCAAAAAGCTGAACTCACCAAATACCTCTTTATCCATTAAGATCTTTATTGCATGCAGCAGGTTACAGCAGACAACAGGATGCAGCAGATGATTGAAAAGATGGTATTTGCAGGTCAAAACATGGTAATGCTTTCCCCCATTCGAGCACATTCACATGTGGCAATGAGACAAGCAGCCATTTTGATGAGAAAACTTATAAAGATGAAGAAAGGGAAATGCATCATAAAACGGGAGGGAACACAGAAAAGGATGGTGCAATAACCAAAATGCCCAAACGATGGCAGTATATAAACCAACTACACTAGTGCCAATGAACAATGGCTTCAGGAAAATTAACTATGTAATTCTCAATTCACAGTAATATGAATATTAACCAGGACTATGTATTGTATCATATTTTCATACAATGATGTAACAGCACACCATGGCTGTATTGATTTATATTGATGGGATCATTACCATCCAAAATACTTTAAACCAAAGATTTGGCAAATGGGAATCTATTTTTTTTGTGTGTATTAAGTTTTTGGGGGTTTTTTTATTGACAGAAAACACACTAAACACAAAATTCCTTATGATCCCTCCCAATCTTCCCCCTATCCTTGGCTCATTCCATAACAAAACTAAGTACCATTTGGACATAACTGTTGGCTCTAAACATTTACAATGTACAAGACAAAACTGGTTACAAAGACAACATTATGAATGGAAGCTGTATAAGGTTAACACACGATCACCTCAGAGTCTTCATAATCATGAAAGTATGTTAATTCTGCTCTAGGGCGTTGTAATAATGGTATTGTATACACTGGTGATACAAGTTTTCTTAACTGAAAGACACATTATCTGGTATGCATACAAAGAATGTATGTCCTACTATCCATGTTAGAGGCTCCACATCCTTATGCTTTCGGGCACCATATGAGGTGTTCTGCAGCAGCAGTTGTAATAGAAGAGTTTGTGGGGCCAGATCAGACGATTCCAACCATTTATTCCATGAAATCAAAAACTTGCGGAAACAGCCCCTACATTGATATGTTGACTATTCCCTGGTTAAAGTGACATTAACATCAGTCTTTCAGAATAAACAAATAATATTGGTGGGCTTGGGGAGAGCCATTTTTGTGCAGTTCGTTTTCGAGTCAGAAAGAGTAGCCTGATAAAACAAATTATGAGACAAAGGCAATGCCTACCGGAAGTACCCGGGAGATTGTATGCAGAATCTCCTCCAATACATAGATAGCTTAGGGCATCTCCACAACATGTGAAGTAAATTGACTGGTCCTTGCCCACATTTTGGGTAATTGGGTGTATCTCCTTATCCTCTTTGAAATAATCTTTTACGGAGTAGAGTAAACTCTGAAGGATAAAGATCTGAGTGGCTTTTTGGAAAGCACAGCCCTCCTGAGACCCCGCACAGCCCTCCTGAGACCCTGCACAGCCCACCCGAGACCCCACACAATCCATGTGATACCTTGCATAGTCCACCTGAGATCCCACACAGCCCACCTGAGAGTGACCCTGCAGAGACCACCATAAACTCTCTATGGGTCTCTTACCTGTCAGTCTCCTGCACCGCCAGCCCTGGCCTTCTCCTCCTTCACGGTCGCTGCTGGGCCCTGTGTTCTATAATTTCATCTGACCCCATGTGTCACGGGAGCCACGTACCTGATGTGAGACTGAAGTAGTGGGGAGGCCTCCCTTGCACCTCGGGTCCTTGACGTCTCTGGAGATGGAGACAGAGACTTGGTGGACACTGAGTGGCACGGGTGCCAAGGGTGCGGAGCACCGTGCAAGCCTTAGTCCGAGATCCGAGCCGAGGTCAAGTCCACTCTGGCAACGAAGTACACAAGGGTTAAATTAGAAGAATGGTCGAGATCCAAGCCGGGGGCGGTTCCAATCTGGCAGCTGAGTACAAAAGGGGCAAAGAAGTAGAATGGTCAAGGTACAAATATGAGGTCAATGGCAGGCAGCAATCAAGAGTAGTCAAAGAGGTTTCCAGGTCACAACAAGTTTAGACAGATCACACACTAGCACAGGAACAAGGGGGGACTGAAGATAATCCAGCAATTTGGCAGTGTCTGGTCTGGGCATATATAGGGAAGTGATGATTGAAGTTTGAGGTCACTTCCTGTGCGCCTCCTGGGCATTTTCCCGCCTTTTTACATCAGGTTGAGGTCACTTCCTGTGCACCTCCTGGGCATTTTCCTGCCTTTTTCCTTCAGGTTGAGGTCACTTCCTGTATATATATATATATATATATATGTCAGGAGTGACTGAAGCATGCTTGGTAGTCCGTCATAGTTCTGCATAGAGCCCCGCTGCTAAACTCTGTTGGACTGTGAGATTTACAGGTACCACATTGCGCTTGCGCGGACGGCCGAGCCCTTCACATGCCGATAAGCTGTGTTGGTCCATACATGTCTGTGACATGTATGGACCTTGTGCTTCGCTGCGCTTGTGTAGACAGCCAAGCCCTTCACACGCCCCCGCACACACCCTGGAAGTCCAATGTAATGAAAGAACACCGGGCCCAGCCTCCTCCCCGCCGCTGTCATTAACTCAGCAGCGACTGTGAGGAGGAACGCGCCGCTACACTGATCACTGACCAACCCTTTAGTTAAACTGTTGCCAGTTATTGAATTCTTATGTTTTTATATTTTTACAGAAAGAACTAAATTAGGAGATACAGATTTCCCCCTGATTTGCCGAATACTACAAGGTCCCTGTGAGAGGATTGCCAAGTTATTCATAATGGAGACAGATCTTGGAGTAGAGGTTTCACATGATGTAAGTTTGGAGATGTCATTTATTTTTTAAAAATATATAAATATTGCCCTGGATGAATGTGAATTTCACTTCTGGTATCCATATCCAATATATGGCCAAACGTCTGTGTACACATGTTTATCACCCGACTATCAAACTTATATGAGCTTGTTGGGTAAGTAAGTTAAAGATGTATGTTTAAGAATATGGCAGCAGAGTGTTGTACCTTGCTTGCCTTATTCAAAGCAGGAAAAAAAAATATTTCTTTTTTTGGGCTGCAGAATTCATGTAGAAAGATATCAGAGATTAGGTTGATTTTCATGGCAAGCTACAGAAGAAGTGTGTAGAAGTGCATAGAAACATGGAAAATTCTGTTGTAATTACCATCACAAAGTATGAGAACAGTACTTAGCAGTATGTTTGCAGATTCCTATCTGCTCCTGTTTAGGAAATGTTAGACATTTTGTTGCCATGGGTTGCTCAAACTGTTTAGAAGTATAGCCTAATAGTGTTCTGCCACAAGGAAATGGTCACCAGGCATATATAGATATACATATTTTATTTCCTGAGGTGAGTTTAAAGTGTACCTAAAGTCTAAAAGTAAACATTTTACCCCACAGCAGTCAAAAATGTAACAAAACATCAGGATCCTATGTCTTCAGTCCATTTTTTTCTTGGTGTTTGTCCTTCTGAGATACATGCATAAGCCAACAGAAGAGAGTGAAAATGTTATCAGTAAATCATATCATAATATTGTTTAATGGTACATCTCTGTACATTTGCCTTCTTTGGTCTCTGTATTCAAAACTCTGCAAGGTATTAATGGTAGGAAGCAGAGGTGCACCAAGATGAAAATTTCAAAACGATACCGAAATAAAAAAGTCAGGCCGAAACCGAAAATGTTTTTTATTTTAACATTTTCAAATGTTTTTCAAGATATTTTTTTTTATAAACTTTTTGAGTAAGAAACTTTATCCCCACTGGGGGCTGGGCCACATTACAGGAAAGCCCATCACTCCTGGAGCCCCCGATTAGCTATTGGAGCACAGTGCAGCATAGACATTCCATACCCTTCATGCCTTAACACTCTACTCTTTCCAGAACCCTCACTGCATTAAAAAAAAACCTCTGCTTGGGCAGAACTTCCATCAGACATGCACTTTCTCAGATCTACAAGATACTCTGCTCCCTGCTGACATATATGAAGATTTGCAAAGGGGAATGACAAATGCACCTCTCCCCAGATGAGACTGACACAATTTAATTCTTGCCACACCAGCCTTCTTTAGCTAGCAAGTATCAAGAATCTGGTTACTAAATCTTTTCAAAATGGTACAAAGCCCCTGCCATGCTCCCTAAAATATACCCCCAGGTATCCCCACTGTGCTGGAGATAGAATTCTAACATTGGTACTCCTACCAACATATTCCAGTCCTGAGTGACAGGAAACAATACCGGCGCCTCCATGTGCAATATCGGCCAGTTGCAATGGTAACGAACACACTGAAGAGGCAGCTCCCACAGGTCAAAGGACCTTCAATGTGAGAGACAAAAAACAAAAAGGAGCGCCTCCATAGTGTAAAACTAATTTGAATGATAAAAACGCACAACTCTTGGTTTACATGTTTATGGGACACGTCCCCTTCCTCAGGGGCATCAGAGCAACTCTGATGCCTTAGATAGCCATTATAGGTTCTGAAATATATAAATATTTGCAGATAAACAACTCCAGGAGTGCAAATATAGTGAAGCCTGTTTTTGCCCATGTCTGTGAGATCCTGCACAATATCTAGCCATTTAATTTATTTTTTTTGCTGCCCATCCTTCCACTCTAACTTCTCCTTGCCTTTGGGAAATCTCCAACAGCAACACAGACTTACATATTTTTTAGCAGAACCCTGTTACACAACTACCCCATGCTTGTGAAGTCACTGAAACCAAAATAACTTTGTATAGCTGTAATACCATTTTGCTTTTTACAAAAAAATTGTTTATATACTTTTTGGTCATGTGACCACATTGCCTCCCTTCCTTTCCTTCTTTCCTTTTCTGGGGGAGTATATTTGCATTGCCTGAGGACGGTCAGGGGAATGACACGTAGGACAGCAGGGAAAAGCCACTATTAATCCAATGGAGCACGAGTGGCCACCAGGCATGGCAGCAAAGCTCCGATAAGCAAGCTTAGAGCCCCAAACTGACCACACCAGCATGAATCTGCTTCAATACTTGCCATGGTCAGATTGCAACAGGAAAAGAGGGGAACTGGCAGGATCACCAAGTATTTGCTACTAAATCAATGTGTAGTGGACGAAGAAGCAACATATACAAGACAGTTTTACTAAAGGAATGCATAACATAAATAATTATTTTAGGATTAACATACACTGTATCTAGCGTTCCTATGATACTGACACTTCTGTGTCTCCCCATGGAATAAACGAACATAAATGTTTACACTTCAAATTCATCTATTTTTTCCACAATTCTGTTTTGATTATAGGTGGCCCAGTACATCAAGTTTGAAATGCCTCTGCTGTATAGCTTTGTTGAGAAACTGAATGAAGAAGAGGATAGGGAAATAAACAAACTGACTAAAAGGTAAGATGTATGCTTTGTGTTAATGAATAGAGATGTTTGACTTCAACACCCCTGAAGTTTTCTACAAAAAAAAACAATGTATACATTAAGATAAACACAAAAAATTATAATTGTTGAATACATTTGGTCAGTGGCGACTCTAGGAACAATATATAGGGGGGCATATAAGATACCACAGTCAAAACTGGTGGGGCACTAATAATTTTCACCACTAAATCATACCACTGAAAAAAACTAAATAATTATATATAAAACAGAAGGTTTAATAACCCTTCAATGAAACTCCAATAGCAATTAAGTAAGTTAAGGGTTAACTTTGCCAACACAAGGTATACTTGCAGTAAGCAGACTTTTGTGATTCCAAACAAGGGATGGTGCTGGAGAGCAGGTCAGCGTGGAGCTCCAAAGGGTAGGAGTAATGAAGATTGCAGCCTGTCAACAGGACGGAGAGGGTGAGGTAAGTAGTATTTTTTTTTTTTCAGGATGGAGAACAGTGTCCCTTGGCACTGAGAGGGACATCACTTATGAGAAATTAGAAAACCTCCTGTTCTAAAACGACTTTACTGATTTGGTTGGAGGGCTTTTAAAATCCTTCAGTCCCTTCTTACCATAATTGCTATACTTATTCAATGAACAATATAGACTCTGTCAAATAAAAACATTATAGCCAATGATATAGTGTGAGAATCATTCAGAAATCTACAGTACACACATAAAATGGATAATTTATACATCTGAATGCAGCAAAGAGTGAAGTGTATTTTGCATTATTTGCTATTTTTTAAAAACAAATCAGCTAATCCAAAGCATTTAAGTTAAATCATTGTCACAACAAAACAATATTTGTAATTGTTCAATAAATGAAATATGTTGGAATATTTTCTGAATTTTGTGTTAATAAAGTAAAATTATATATTACATAGTTACATAGGTTGAAAAAAAACACAAGTCTATCGAGATCAACCTAGAGAAAAAAAATAAGAATAGAAAAACTTTCATAAACAGAACCCCAAAAAAGCATGGTTCAATTTGTTCGAACGGGAAAAAAATTCTTCCTGATCCCATAAGGCAATATTACCTGGATCAAAAACCTGTGGTGTTTTTTTCTTATAAAACCTCTAGTTATATTCTGTGCATTTAGGAATGCCTGCAGATTTGTAAATTAACTGAGCTAACTAGAACTAGAGAAGCCTTTCCATATGCAAAGGTTAAACCTCTTTCCCTAAAGTGAATACTTTTGCAGCAAGTTCACTATATGGACAATATATCTATTTATAATGGTGATCATATCCACCCTAGAGTGTATGATGCATGCATGTTTAGTCCCCAAATTATTATCAGCATTAAACTTCATTTGCCACATAGATGCCCAATCAAACAGAGCATTCAGGTCTGCTTGTAAGTTGTAGACATCTTGTAAGGACTTAATTCAACTACATAGTTTGGTGTCTTCTTCAAATACATAAATTGTACTTTTAATCCCAAACTCTATATTATTATATATAAATTTATTTATAAATAAGTTT